TCTTGGCCCAGTAGAATCAGCAGCACTGAGAATTGGAAATGCAGAATCTTGGGTCCCTCCCCAAACCTGTTGCAATCATTCTGCATTTTAACACCATTTTTTTTTTTTGAGAGATTTTCACTGTAGGGCGCGTGCGCTCGCCAGACAGACAGAGAGAGACATAGAGACAGAAAGCGAGAAATCACCCCCCAGGGGGGATGGTCACGCCGCAATCCCTTCTCCTCCATTCTCCTCTCGGGATCTTGGGCACGCACGCACACGCGCCCGGCGTGAGTTTTAAGCCACCGGGTCCGGGACACGAACCGCGGTTGACTACGTGGGAGTCCAGCGACATAGCCATTACGCTAACTGCTGGTTCCCATTTTAACACCATTTTCAGGTGATGTGTATACACGCTGCAGTTTGAGAAACATTGCTCTAATAACATGAAAATATTTTCTAAGGAGGAGTCAAATGATTTTAGTGCATCACACCAGGTGTATTTCTGTCAGTGGGAAAGAGGAGAATTCAAGGAAGAGTTGGGCTTAGTTTTATGAGAGTCTTTTGCTTCACGTAACCTCAGAGGCCCATTTTAACTGTCTATAAGGAGTACAGGAAGACTGGCAGGAGGGATAGGACATTGATTGCGAGTTAATTTGGTGAGTCCACTTTAACCAGTCTGTTTTCCCAATGCATCCTTAACGGTACTCTCCTCCACAAAATGTCCCTTGCCCACAAACTGTAGAACCCAATGATCCATTTCTGTGACAAATTTCCAGCATTAATCACGTTTACCTCATTAGGCATTTATTCACAGAACACCTAGACACACATAGGGCTTAATTAATTCTGCAGCTATGATACCTTGGCATTTCTTAAATATGTAGTACTCTGCTCTATGCAAGGAATGTGCCCAATAAATCAAGGCGTTAATGACAGGTTTTTCAGGAAGTGATTCTATTCCTCACCATTTTTTTTAAATGCTCCTCTTTTGTCTTGAAAAACTTACTTGGTCGATGTCCAGTTATGACTCAATACGTGTTTCTTGACTTTCTCAATATTTCTTTTAGATTGTTCTGAGAGTGCCGTTGTAGGCTTTTTCATTGATTGGATTTTGTGTTTGACGTAAGGCAGCTTTGTTTTCACCTTGACTACTTTTGTCTTGTGGAATTACAGGTGGCTGTCAATTACTAATGTCCTTCGGTATTAACATAGTGGGCACAATAACCAGTTTTCACAGGTAATTTCTGATTTTCCCAAATAATTTTATTTTTCACTTTTTTTCAAATAATTAACTTTTATTTAACTTTTATTTATTTATTTATTTTGACCAGAGAGAGAGAGAGAGAGAGGGGAAAGTGAGAAAGCAGGCTGCCAGGTCAGGGTATGCGACCATGGTTGCCTGTGTGGGAGTCCAGCACCCTTAACCACTACGCCACCTGCTGATCCCTTGACATTTTTTTTTTTTTTTGCCTTTGACATCTGCACTATACTTGACCAAAAAAAAAAAAAAAAAAAAAAAACTTTCCATTGCAACCCGTATTGCTTGTTGCTTCCTCTTGAGTCAAATGCCAACTTATTCATTAAAATAGCTTAACTCTTAATACTGAGAATTTCTTAATCGGATATTTAGATACTACAGGAATCTAGTTACATGAAATACACGTGGTTCCATTTTTTCCTCTTAAATTATGCCTTCATAATACAAAGCTGAACTCTTATTTCCCATTATCTGTAAAAATCTCCTAAGTGGATTTCTGTTCTTTTGTCTCTTCTCTCATCAATATACATGTGTAGCCCTCAGTAAAATCACCCCCAGACATAATTTTTTTCTTATTTTGAGAGGTTTTTGCTATAGGGTATGCGCTCGCCAGAAAGACAGAGGGAGACAAAGAAACAGAAAGCGAGAAATCACCTCCCAGCGACATAACCATTGCCTAACTGGTGGTCCCTAAAATTCACTGCTTTTAAGGGGTCATAGGGTGAGTGCTCTGTAGACCTAAGACTAGGGGTGGTGATTTTCTCCCCCTAGGTTGATCTTCTCATTGCCAGGTTTGATCAGTGGCTTTGTTGTTTGTAGCCACCTGAGGTATCGTTTGACAGTTAAGAGACGTGGAAATCTTCAACCATCCACTTTGTGTACGTTGCTTTTTACAGTGGAGGTTTGGTCTGTCTGCGTTCTTTAGTTTCTGTGAATTTGGAGAGCTGTGAGGTGTGGGTGTTAAGAGCTGTTATTTTTCCATTTATTACAACTGCCTTTGATTCATTTATTCTCTCGTGTGTGAATCTTTTGTAGAGGGCCCGACACATTATGACTATAGAAGCCAGGAGAAATCATAAAGTAAATCATCCCATCTGAGTCAGGATCATTTTGTCGCCACTCCTGTCCTTCCTTATTATGACTCATCGGTTATCTCCAGTCATTGGGGTTGTTAGAGAAGGGGTGCCTGAAGGGGTTTTGGTCATTGGAGAGTGCGTGGAGACACCATTCTACCTGCTTGAGGGCAAGGATCCCATACTGTGAAGCTGAGCTCTGTTGCACTTTGTGGAAGGCTCTGTTAAAATGTCACATGCCAGACCCAGCAGATGGTATAGTGGTTACATTGTTGGATTTCCACATAGTTGACCACGGTTCAAGTCCTGAACCCGCTGGCTTAAAAATCATGCTGGGCATGTGTGCGTGTGTGCATGCCCAAAATCCTGAGAGGAGAATGGAGGTGAAGGGATTGCAATGGGATTGCATCCTCTCTGGGAGGAGATTTTTTCGCTTTCTCTCTCTTCCTTTGGAGAACCCACACACCCTATAGCAAAAATCTCTTGAAAAACAAACAAAAAAAGTCACAGGCCAAGGAGACTTAAGTAAGAAGCGTTCCTTAGATGATGACTTAATAGGAGTGGGTCTACCAAGGAAGGTCTAGAAGGCCTTCTTCTCTACCGTAGTCTCCATCGACTCCAGGCAGAGCTGCCCTGAATAAACACCCGTCTAGGCATCGGGAGCACTGGTGCAAGGAGAGCTTCCACCTCCGTCTCCCGCCTCCCTTCAGTCCAATCGTCACCTGCGAAACCCTTTCTCTATGGAAAGGCCACCGACTTCCTAACACCTCATGTCCTACCTGCTCTGTCTATGGCGCTAAAAGAAATGAACTGAGAATTTTAATATTCTTAAGTCTTAATATTCTGTGGCACTTAGTGGAAATGGTTGAAATGTAACTTTTCATTTGGCATGCATAGATTAGCTTTCAAAACTGTCAAAAACGTGTCTTTCAAGGTTTTAATGATGTGGGAATGAGGATGTTTGTAACAATTATGTGATCACAGAAATTTATTTATTCAGCATTTTACAAAGCAGTTTCACAAACTCAGTGTTGCTTGTTACCAGTTTATTAATGAGATATCTATACTGTCTTCAAATCATAGGAAGGAATGAAGTTACTTAATAGTTCAGTGTTAACTTCTTAAATAACTATTGCCCCTAACAATAACCTGTACCCACTGTGAACTGGGTCTATTGGCTTTACTGCTCCCAAAAATAGAACTTCTTTTATATAAAAATAACTTAGTGGGGATGGCAGGTGGCATGGTGGTGAATGGCGCTGGACTCCCACATGGCCAACCGTGGTTCAAGTCCCAGACCTGGCAGCTTGGCTTGCTTTCTCACTTTCCCTCTCTGGTCAATTAAAACAAATAAATAAATAAAGTTAAATAAAATAATTCTTTTAAAAAGAAATTTAAAAAAACTTAGCTAAACTGTAAGTGTCTGTTTAAGTCCTATTTTGCCAGCCCAAACTATTTTGTTCGTCTCTTTATCTTTCTTCAGATATTCATCTTTAAGAAGTTCTGAGAAAGGAAGGGAAAAACAATACTAGTCCTCTGATACAATGTACTGTTTTGATTATGATTAGAACTTTAATAAAATTTACCTTCAGGAGAGTATTTAGAGTGAACTCCTTAAAAACTTGGGAGAGGGGGCCAGCAAGTGGCATGATGTTTAAGACATTGGACTCCTACATGGCCAAGCATAGTTTGAATCCCAGACTCAGCAGCTTGAAAGTCATTCCAGATACGTATGTGTGTATGCTGGAATCCCAGAAGGAGAATAGAGAAGAAGGGATTGCAGCGTGGCCAAAATAAAAAAAAGCTTGGGAAAGTTTGATCTGGTGTCAACCTCTTAAATCATCTTCCCATGTGACGCAAGATGATCCTGGCAGCTCACTTGGCTCTTCAGCACTCTAAATTGAAATGTCTTGAAGTTACAAGAAAATAAAAGGATCAGAGTGGGAGGTTGATGATTGTGTTGATAGAAAGCAGCCGCTTAAACCCCAGTTCACCACAGGCTGTGAGCTCTTTGTTGGGGGTGACCAGTAGTGCAGTGGAAGGTCCTGATTTTAGTGAATGTCTCTGCCCACAACCCTCTTAACTGCATATCTCTTGGGAACATATAAAATGTCTTTCACTGTTAAAATAGCTGTTAAAGGAATATTATAAGGGACAAAGGCAAGAAAATGGTTGTTTGCCTATTTGGGCAGACAGATTCAATAAACAAAACAAAACAAAAACAGCTAGTGCCAGGAAAACAGAAAAGAGAAATACTGTGAATAATTTTACTATCATTGAGACTTGTGGGTGAAAGACCACCAAAAAGAAGATTAAGTCTAGGGACTGGCAGGTGGCATGGTGGTTAAAGGCACTGGACTCCCACATGGCTGACCACAGTTCAAGTCCTGGACCTGGTGGCTTGCTTTCTTACTCTCCTCCCCCACCCCTCCCATCTGATCAAACTGGAAAATAATAATAAATAAAGTTAAATAAAATAATTATTTTTAAAAATCTTTAAAAAAGAAAAGAAAGTCTAGTATGAGAACTTTGAAGAAAATACATAGACCACGTCTGGTTATAATAATCCTTTCATAATCCCTTCCTTTAATAGAGTGCTTTATTGTTTGCAAAACAGTTTCTCTTGCATGTGGTATTAGCCCTTGGAAACAGTTCTTTGAGATGGGTGTAATTATGCTGTTTTACAGATGTGGACATTGAGGCCCAGAAAGATGAAGCCATCTGCCCAGGCTGTAATAGGACCACTCACCCACTGACACATTGTAAAGTATCAAGAATTTATCTTTTCTTCATTTTACCATTGTGAATCATTGTGCTTCCTCACTGTTTCACTTATAAGTAAATCTCAGAGAAAAATCTCTGGCTGCACGGTATTTTTATATTTTCCTAGCTAATTGTAGAGGAGTCACTGGAAGGGGTTGACATCAAAGCCTTGTTGTTGCCTTGTAAATTAGGAGCCATGTTTAGGAGGAGAGAATTTATTCTTTCAAGATATGCTTCTTTGTGGGTTTTGTCCCCCCAGTTTTACTTGAGTTCAAATGAGGAATGAGTCATTTTTCTTTTCCCCTTTTCTTGTGGGCATAGCTTCTCTTTTAAACACCACGTGGTCTGGCTTTTTGAGAGTTATGTCATGCTGCCATTTATAAAAGGTGAGGCCAGTTGCTCCAGGCCTGTGATTTTTCTCTTCACCAGAGCTGCAAGGAGCCTCACTTGATCAGCCATGTGGGCATCTTACCTAGGAAGGGCACTGCAACTTAAAACCACAGAGGTGTCAAATATTGTCTCGGGATTCCTCTACCAGAACTTCTTGAACATGAGTGAATAAAGATACAGAGAACAAAACTGTCAGAATATGACTAACAAAGACATGTAATTTAGTCAAATTGCTTTGATAGAAAGGAAGGTTTGGGCCAGCTGGTGGTGTGGTGGTTAAGGGGTTTGGGTCCCACACGACAGACTGTGCAATTTGAGATCTGGACCCGTGGCTTGAAAAACATATCAAAGGAGCCAGCAGGTGATGTGGTGGTTAAGGGCCTGGACTCTCACATGGCTGACCATGGTTCAAGTTATAGACCCAGCAGCTTGAAAACTCACCAGGCTCATGTGTGCCCAAAAATCCCAAGAAGAGAATGACGGAGAAGGGATTGTGGTGTGGCCATCCTCTCTGGGGGAGAGTGATTTCTAACTTTCCCTCTCTCTGTCTCTCTCTGGCAAGTGCACATACCCTATGGCAAAAACCTAAGAAAAATTAAAAAAGAAAAACGTGCCAGGTGCGTGTGAATGTGTGCCCAAAAATCCCTAAAGGAGAATGGAGGAGACGGGATGGCAGCATGGTCATCCCCCCTGGGGGTTACTTTCTCACTCCCCCTCTCCTGCCTCCCCATCTTTCTGGAAAGTGCATGTACCCACCCCCCCTCCCATAAAGCAAACAAACAAACAAAAGATGGAAGAAGTTTTACCTTGAGGAGTGGCAAAGACTACCTTTATGACTATGATATTTTTCAAAGGACATTGTAAAGAATGACTTCAATTTGCAGACAGTCTGCCAGCCTGCAAAGCTAATTTATATGCCTGCTTTTCTGCAACTTGGTCTCTATAAATGAAAACTTCCCCACAATATAACAAGAGAAGTTGGGCCATGATGTCGTTTTATTTCATTTGGGGTAGAGATGGTTTTAAATGAGCTCTACACTGTGATGTGGACCTTCTTCCTCTTCTTTTCTACCAGTATTCGTCATGGTGAGTTTTCCAACGGGCCTGGTTGGGACTAAGGATCCTTGTGGTCCTTCCTTCTCGGTGGAGATTTTCTTTAGCAAAGAAAAAGTTCATTAAACAATAATTTACATTATGATTGCAGAGATTTTCTTCAAGCTATGTTATGCTTTTACATGTTTTCTATGTAAAAGGGATTCTGTAGTAAGAATCCTAGAAGAATGTTTTATGTATATTTATGTTCCTTATATATAGTCTTTTGAAAAGTTGTAATTTTGGGCCAGCCAAGTGGCATGGTGGGTAAGGTGGCTGGATACCACATGGCTGGCTTCCCAGTTTGAGTCCCAATTCTGTCTGGCCACTTGAAAAACATACCCCGTGGGGCCAGTAGGTGGTATAGTGGTTAAGGCACTGGACTATCACATGGTCAATTGTGGTTTGAGCCCCAGACCCAATGACTTGAAACTCACAAAGGGTGCATGTGCATGCACGTCTAAAATCCCAAGAGGAGAAGGAATTATGGTGTGGCCATCCCCCGGAGGGTGATTTCTCACTTTCTCTCTGTCTCTAGGAAACACATATGTCCTATTGCCAAAAAAGGCTCTCTTTCAAAACAAAACAAAACACTCCAGGCATGTATGAGTGTATGTCGCATATTCCAAGAGGAGAGTGGAAAAAGAATAGTTGGTTCTCCTGGGGTGGGGGGCAGTTTCTCACTCCTCCCCGACTTCTGTCTTTGTTTGTCTCTAGCAAGCATACTTGGCCTGTAGCAAACTTAAAAAAGAAATAGTAATTTTTACATATTGATTCTTGTTAAAGCAGATATAATTATGCCAAGAAAAAAACACAAAAACTCGAATTTTGAGCATTTCAAAATACTCCTTTATATCTGGTATATAGATAGTGTCAATATATATTTGTTTAATGGAATCAAAAAAGAAAAGTAATAGTCTATTAAATTACAGGGTTATACTGACTTAAATATTATCTTGTTTATGTTGTCCACTTAGCATTGGGATTTTATGAAGGAACATTATCCACAACTGTTAACTCCAATCCAATAAATTATTTGCCTTCCTAACTTTTTTTGGTAGATATTCTTTCTCAGGTTGGTCTTGAATTCACTATTGAATTCACTATTCATGTTGCTTTGTAAGGTCAAAACATTTTAGAAATTCAGCTTTCTCAGGAAACCTGCTTCTCAGATCTTTCAAAGAGACCTTCCTTTAAGCTTATTGTCCCCTTGACAATTGGCGAAGGAATTCCATCCTTTAAAAAGATAAGAAAGTCGTAAAACTATGCTTAAAAATGCATCTAAAAATGTCTTCCAGGGAGGATTTATACAATGGCAAACCAAAGGTGCTGAGGTAGTTTATGTTTGTGATCCCTGCCTCATCCCAAAATATTATTACTCTGAGTCATAATAAGAAAATTATTTGAGTTGGGCTTGACTGTACCTGTATGCATTTTGAGTAGCGTTCTGTTATAATGCAGTTTATGATTTTCCTAGCAGCCAGCTCAGCACTGAGAAGCATCACGTGCAGGCCTATCCCCTCTGCCCAGTACTGCCGAGCTCCCTAACTCTGACCACTCAATTCCTATGGAGCTCTCTGTTCTATATAGAATAAGTCCTTTCCTGAACCTTATTCACGTTTTCAACCCTAGCTACACATTATATCATTGAGAAGCTTTTAAAACAGCGCCAATTCTGGGCCAAACCCTTAGAAGTTTTTATTCATTTTCCCAGGGGTAGGATCCTGGGATTCTGATTATTTTAAAGGATCCCCAGATGATTCAGATGAGGTTGAGAAACACAGATCTAGCCTAAAACCCCAGGAAATTACAAGTGAAGAATTTGACCAGAGAGGTCAAGATACGTAGTGGATGTCTCAGGACAAAGAAGCACTACCTACCTACCAGGGTCAAAGTCTCCTGTCTGTTGACCTTTTAAATCCGGTTTAACAAATATGACAAGGTTTTACAATAGCACTCTGGGTGGATAAAATTTGTTTTACTTCTAAAAACTGACCAGCAGAATGAGGAAAATACAGGCCCATCTAAAAGGCTGCCTTACAGTAAAAGTGGTTAAAAACCAAGACCAGGAGAGAGAGAGAGCACTGTGGATTTGGTTGGAGATGGCAGTAAGCATGACTTTTCAAAGGAGTAGACGGTGGATATGGGGCTGAAAGGGGGCCAATTGCCTACTTATGAGCCCAGGTCAATGATCCTCCACTTGCTTCAAGAAAACAATTACATGGGGCCGGCAGGTGGCCTGGTAGTTAAGGCTCTGGACTCCCACATGGCCAACCACAGTTCAAGTCCTGGACCTGGTGGATTTCTTTCCCTCTCTCTCTCTCTCTCTCTCTCTGGTCAAATTAAGTGATAATAATAATAATGAATAAAATTAAATAAAATATTCTTTTAAAAAAAAAAAAAGCAATCACTTAGAGATCTAGTCAGCCATGTGAAAAGACCTAGACCACTCCTCATGAGCAGCTGCAACACCAGGCCATTCTCGGAGGCTCTTCCCTCACTCACATAATCTCACAGGTGGCAGAGAAGGCACTGAACACCTTCCAGGAGCTAGTCAGGCCTCCTTAGGTTCATCTCAGCCTTACTGTCCACCTGGCAGACCTGATTGGGAGGCGGAAATGCTGTGGAAGGCTGACAGAAGTAACGAGTCATAGGGTTTCTGATGGAAGGGGTTGGTTATCAGAAAACTACTCAGATGGAGGTAGCTGAAGGCCAGTCCATGGAATTGAGACTTAAATTCTCCAAGCTCTTAGTTCTCTGGTAAATTTGTATAAAACCATTGCAGAGCCAGGAGTTTGTATCATGCTTCTGCAGTTAGCAAGGGGAAGAGGGGCCTCCCACAGTCTTCCTGAGCTTCAGGTCAGCACCTAGGCTCGTCTTGTTTCTGACCTCCCACTGGGGCCCGGTTCTATCATCAGTACTTGCTCAGTTTCTAAAACAACTATTCTTTTCATGACTCTCAAAATATATATGGAGAAGTTCTTTAGAGTCTCCAAATTTTCACTAGCCCCCCACTTATCTTTTGGGTTCTGTGTAGATTTCATGTCACACCAAGTAGCCTGCAGGTGCCTCAAAACAAGGTGTAAAAGATACAAACCAAGGAAACCATTCCACTCATTCCAGAGGGTGCCTTCTTTTTCCTGGGCCTCACTCACAGATGTACTCCCAACGTGTCCCCACTTCAAGTATCACAAAGCTATGTGTCCTACTTGGGAGTTCTGAGGGATCTTGAGTTTTAATTGGGCAGAGCTTCAGTGAAATACATTTTACTACTTCTAATGCCATTGTAGTGGGTTTGTGACCGGGGAGGTTGGGGATGACTGGACGATGTGGATCAACACTATAAAGAGTGTTAGCCAGAAACGCAGGACTGAGGGAACTTTTTTACTTTATAATCTCCCTGACAAAGTTGGGATCAGTGATGCAGCCATCTTGGGGAGCAGCACTGTACAACAGAACTTCCTGCTGTGATGAAAACATCTCCTACTTGAGTTGACCAGGGTGGTAATCATTAGCC